GGCACCCTGACCTCCTGTGGCTGGCATTACTCTAAGGTTGCATCATAAGACAAGCAGTGACAAGAGGGAACACTGAAAGTGGGAAGTAGTATTCCTAGGAATCTTTATGGTGTGCCCTCCCCTAGCCCCCACCCCCACCCAGCTGCAGAACATAGCCTTCCCCTTTCCGTGTCCTTCCTAACTTCCAGGACAGCTTTTCCTCCCAATCAACCTTTTAGCCTTGAAACAGCAACCCACGTTGAATGTGGCAGCAAAGAAACAAAGAGGAAGGTGTTGATTCTCACCCAGAAGTCTGGTCTCCTCAGGGTCCTTTAGAAACGCAATCCTTGCAATCCTCCTCAGGAGACAGGGCACCAGGGTTGCCAAGGGGACCTGAAATACCGGTTTGCCACAGTCCTCAATGAATCAGCTCCCAGGGCCAAGAGGGGAGAAGGTGTCAGTCACTCAAACCCTGCCTTGGCTCCGATTCTGAAGTGGAGAAAAAAGAAGCAAAGGAGAGCATCCGTCAGCGACAGGCAGGCAGGGGCATTAGTTAAGACGCTGGGCTCTTTGGCAAGAAGTGTTGAGGCTCTTTTGACCTGGACAGAGCCAGGACCTCGGGGCTGCTTGTGTCAGGATGTGTGTTCTTGCTCAGCGTCTAGGTGTTTTTTCCCCTCCCTCATTCCCTGAGCCCTGGCACTGGGGAGTGTGGAGTGGCTCAGCCTGTTGTAATCGAACATGTGAGTTGCTGCCCGGCGCGAAGATATTGCAGCAGACTCTTCATTAAAGGAGGCTGTTCTTGGATGCTAAGAATCAACTTCCTTGCCTGGGGTTGCCTGCTTGTGCTCTGGGCTGGGGGTGGAGTGCGGGGTTTGGTGGGAGTGTGGAGGAGGGCAAAGGGGATGAGCCCAGCCCAGCCAGGAAGTGCCCGGAGCACTGCCCACAGCTCCTATTTGTGAGTGAACAACTTGGCGCCCAGTTCTTAGGAGATGTGGCAGCTGGGACAGGGGACTCCCAGCAAACATATTCTCCGTGCACAGAAGGCCACTAGCTGTCATTCCAACCCTCAGACCTTTAGCCTCAACTTGAATGCTGCCTCTTGGAATTTCAAATGGTGCTCTGAATCTTAGGTTTTCTTTTTCTTTCTTTCTTTTTTAAATCAGCTTGTCTCGTGGTCCTGCTTCTTCTTCTTTTTTTTTGTTTTAAGATTTTATTTATTTATTTGAGAGAGAGAGACACAGCGAGAGAGGGAACACAAGCAGGGGGAGTGGGAGAGGGAGAAGCAGGCTTCCCGCGGAGCAGGGAGCCCGATGCGGGGCTCGATCCCAGGACCCCGGGATCATGACCTGAGCCGAAGGCAGACGCTCAACGACTGAGCCACCCAGGCGCCCCTGAATCTTAGGTTTTCTGATCACTGGGCACACTCAAGGGGGCGGGGCAGTCCTGGGGGAAATAAGGAAGGTATTCATTTGCCCCGTTTGTTGGCTCATTCACTCATTCATTCATCATACCCACATGTCTGCATTCACCGGTTCATTCATGTATTCATCCATTCACTTCTCCTTATGTTATATCATGTATTTTATGTATTAATTTATTCATTCACACTCATACATTTGTCTATTCAGTATTCATTCACTCATCTATATACTTATTGAATCGCTAATTCACACACTCATTGACATATTCAATCATTCACCTATGACTCATTCATGCCATCCACGCCCTCCATCAATGTGCATACAGTCACTTTGTCTTACATCCTTCCATCCATCCATTCATTCATTTCCAGATTCATTTATTCATAGATATGTTGCCTATTGATCTATATGTGCATTTGTTAGCTCTTCATCCATTGAACACTCATCCTAAGTGCCTACTCTGTGCTTGGCCCTGTGGAGGACGTGTAGGAAAAAGAATCAGGCACCCCTCTTGCCTTCAAAGAATCAAGGAGAGAAGACATGGTTGCGAGGAACCATAACACAAAGAGAAAGGCCTGGATGCTAAGAGGGGAGCTGGGGAACATCTGAGAGAGATACCATAGAGAGACCTGAGGAGCCAGGGGTGGGGGGTAGCTCGAAAACTGGAAAGACCCCTGGACTTGGATTCAGTCTCACTGACACCTTGCAGCTCACTCTGTCACTTAGTGTGGCTTTGCTCTAGTTAATTCACCTCTCTGCGTCTCAGTTTTCTTACCTGTAAAGTGGGGAGAAGGAATGTCTACCTCACCAGTGGATGGGAAGACTAAATAAAGTAACTGATGTCAAGTGTCTCACAGAAAAAAAAAAAATGTGCTCAGTAAATACTCATTTTCTTCCTCCTTCCCCTCTAAATTTCTTCCCCAAACTTTTGTCAGCAGGTTACTTTTACCTACTTTGGGGGGGGGGGAGCGGAGGAAGGGAAGAAGGGAGAAGCTGGTGAACCTCAGAGCTGGTCTGAGGGTTGAAAGCCAGAAGTTAATCCTGAGAGGTTTCTAGACCTTCCCCGCGGGGAGGGGGGGCGCAGCCTGAGAAAGGCTGAGAGAAACTGTCAAATATTCTTTCAAATGTAAAACCTGCCTGGTGAATTGGCCAAAGGAATCTATTAACATAGGATTTGCACAAACACTCTTCCTGAGTGAAAGGGGATTTTATTAAGCACAGAGGTGGGGAGGGGTCTGGCTGGTGGGGTGCTGTGTAGATCTCAGCAGGTCAGTGGTCCAAGGGGGAGGGGATGGAGGAGCGCACTCTCCTGTCCAGACCTTGTGTAGACGCTGCATGTATCTTTACAGCGGCCTCATGAGCCATGTATGGTTACAAATGAGGAAACTAAGAGGTTTAGCGGTTTGCTCAAGGTCACAGTGAGTGAGTGGTAGAAGCAGAATTTAAATGCAGTTCTATCTGATTCCAAAACCTCTGCTTTTATCCACCATAACATGCTCTCCCATGAAGGTTTCTACCCTCTGTGGACGTTTTTTAAGGCCCATCTAATTAGGGTTTCAACAGCCATTGTCTGAGGATTTCTTACTTCCTTTTCTAACGGAAACTTGAAATGTGAACAGAAGTAGGCCAAACCTTCAAGGGAATAAATGAAAATTTTTCTTTTAGAGTCCTATACAATACATGCATACAGTATATATTGTTTTCATTTTTATTTAAAAATATTTTTAGCAACGGGGACACAAAAATATGACACCAAACACAAAGGGCTTCATAGTTTCCCATTATGCTCCAAGGTAGGGGGCCTGGGTCTGTGGCTGTCTTGGCAGGACTGGTTTCATAGCTCAGGCCTGCGAGGAGAAATGAATAACGTGGCAGGTGCAGAGCTGCTATTCCGGATGTGTGACCGCGGTTACGGCAGGGACACAGGGCAGTCAGAGTCCTGGGCCAGAATCAGGGGGGCGGGGCCCGTGATATGGGCTACATGGTGTCCACCCCAAATTCATGTTGGAGTCCTAACTCCTAGTACCTTAGAATGTGATTGTATTTGGAGACAGGATCTTCACAGAGGGGATTTAGTTAAAATGGGTCCTGATCCAATCTGACTGATGTTCTTGTAACCAAGATGAGGCAATTAGGACCCAGAGGGAGACACCGGGGTGTGCTCAGATGGACGACCCCCTGAAGAGGCAGGGGGGGTGGGGGGGTGGAGGGGCACCTGGTAGCCAAGGAGGGAGACCTCTAAGAATCCATTCCTGTCCACGCCTTGATTTTGGACTTGCAACCCCAGAACCGTGAGAGAAGAGCTTCTGTTGTTCAGGCCACCTGGTCTGTGGTATCTGTTATGGCTGCCCTCACAGACCAGGGCAGCCAAGGAGCATCTGCAGTGGCCAGGGTGGCTGGGGGGCAAGGGGACTTGGGGGGTCAAGAACAGTGGCTGTTCACAAGGTGTAGGGAAGTCCTATGTTCATCACTACCACAGCCATTCTGGGACACAGCCTTGAACCCCCCCAGAGCCAGTGTGACAGGAGTCAGGAGGAAGGGCCTTAGACAGGGACTCTGAAGGAGAGGGGGGTGTGAGCTCTGTGTGGCTTCCCTACACGGGCTCAGATTTTTGAACTTGGAGGAAGTGTGAGGGGAAGACTCCCTAGTGAAGGTGGCAGACAAGCGCAGGGGCTAGCTTTATTCCCTCAGACACTCGACTAAAACCAGAGGACTCTTCTGTTTGTTTGAGTTTGCTTGAAGGACGCAATCGGGTGAAGACAGGGAGAATGGGAGAGAAGAGAAGAGCGATTGAGTGGCTGCCAAGTACGTGACAATAGACTGGAGAAAGCCCGGCTTGGAGTCAGTGGTGGGAAAAAGCTCTAAATTGGCCTGACGACCCGCAGGTGGTCAGGGATTGGCAGCTCCAGGTACAGCTGGAACCCAGGGGAGGGGGGCAAGTAGATCCCTAGACCCTCTCCCTCGCTTCACATTTCTGGGAGATTACCCTTCCTCTCTATCCCAGCAGAAACCAGACATTTATCTTCTAGAAAGGATGAGTGTTCAACAGTTTCTCTGGACTGAACGACTCCAGGTACAGTTGAGGCAGGGACCACTCTGAACACAAAGACATTGAGCACATATCTGCCTGCTGAAAGCCAAGGCCACCCCCATGCCCAGCTCCCAGCGTCAGGCTGTTAGATTTCCATTGTTGCTCTAATTACTAAACAACACAGATTTATGATCTTTCAGTTCTGGGCTGAACTAAATCAAGGTGGAGGAAGGGCTGGGCTAAAATCAAGGTGTCGGTAGGGCTGTGTTCCTTCTGGAGGCCCTGGGAGGGTTCCGTTTGCCTTGGCTTTTCCAGTCCTACAGGCTGCCTGGATTCCTTGGACTATGGCCTCTCATCACTTCGACCTCTCCTTCCGGAGTCACAGCTCCTTTTTTTCACTCTGAGTCTCTTGCCTCCTTCTAACAAGGGCCATTATGATTGTAGTGGGTCCCCTGGATAACCCAGCTTCATTTCCCCATCCCAGAATCCTTAACTTAATGATATCTACAAAGCCCTCTGTGACATGCCAGGTCACATATTCATAGGTTCTAGGGATTAGCACAGGGACATCTTTGGGGGACCATTAATGTGCCTCCCACCCAAGGCATTGGGAGGATCTTCTCTGGAGAACCTGACTAGTTCCAAGAAGAAAGAACTAAAGGGACCCACGACAGGGTTTGCCAACACAAAGGTCAGGCTGCTCTCCTCACAGTAACGCTCATGTTGACAAGCCCCGCCTGCATGCTCACCCATCTTTTCATCTCTACTTCTTAAATACTGGCTGACACCTAGTGAGCCTCAAGTGTGAAAAGAGGACACAGAATGAACCAAGTAAAAGGACTTCGAAGAGGTGGAGTCCACATAGGCAGCAGAAACATGCAAAGAAAAACTTTCAGGAAAGTTACACTCATTACGAGGGTTGGAAGACAAAAATGGGGAGTGCCCCCGGGAAGTAGAGAAAAACAAAAAAACAAAATGAAAAACCCCAAGGAAATGGAAAGTATGAGAGAAAAGGTAAGTCAATGGGAAGACAGACAGGAGATTCTCTATCTAATTAATAGGAATTCCAGAAAGAGAAGACACAAAAATGAGTAAGGAAGTCATCAATTAAATAGTTCAAGGGACGCCTGGGTGGCTCCATCGGTTAGCGTCTGCCTTCTGCTCAGGTTGTGATCCCAGGATCCTGGGATTGAGTCCCGCATCGGGCTCCCTGCTCGGCGGGGAGCTTGCTTCTCCCTCTCCTCCCCGCCTACGCTCTCTTGCTATCTCTGTCGCTATCTCTGTCTCTCTCTCTCTCAAATAAATAAATAAAATCTTAAAAAAAAAAGAGAAAACTTCAAGAATGTCTCCCGGAATTGAAGGACACAAGTTTTGAGATTTAAGGGCCCACCGAGCGCCTAGAACAATGGATGAAAGTACACTCACCTGAGGCACATTATTGCAAAATTTCTATTCTAACACTGGGGACAAAGAGATCTTACAAGTTTCCAGAGAGGAGTTGGATCCAGACCAGGGATGAGGAATATGGAAGTCTTTGGATTGCCCAATGGCAACACTGGGAAATGGTAGACAGTGGAGTGACGCCCTTCAAAATCTGAGGGAAGTACAGTTGCACAACCCCGGGGGTTAGGGTACCAACTGCCTCTCCCCCGAACAGTCAAAAGTCTGCATATAACTTTTGATGCCCCCCAAACTTAACTATTAATAGCCTCCTCTTGACCAGAGCCCTACCAATAACAGTCAATTAACACATAATTTATATGTTTATGTATTATATCCTATCTTCTTAAAATAAGTAAGCTATAGAAAAGAAGACATTATTAAGAATCATAAGACAAAATATATTTCTAGTACTACGCAGTATTTATGAAAAAGATCCATTTATAAGTGGCCCTGCACAGTTCAAACCAGTGTTGTTTAAGGGTCGACTGTACTTCCAACTCAGGATTCTATCTGTAGGGGTGGGATGAAGATCTTTTTGGACATTCAAGGCTTTGAAACATTTTCCTTGCCATGTACCTCGTCCCAGGAAGCTCCCAGAGGATGCCTTTTCCCCCAAACAAGGAAGTGAAGCAGGAAAAAGGAAAAGATAAGAACCCAGAAATAGAAGATCCAACAGGGGATTGAGGAGAAGGCACTGCCAGGGAGGGAGCAGTGTGCTGGGTGTGGAGAATGTCAGTACAGACTAGAGAAGGTCAGAAGGTGGCAGGTGGGAGTCTACATCCTGCTCTCAGCCTGCCTGGCTGAGGGGGATGGTAACGGCTTTCTCCATCGGTAGATGAGTCTAGAGTTAGTTTTGCTGCCAAAGATCCTGGGAATAGTTTTACAAGGTGAGTCTGTACCCAACTGGCCGCATTCTGTCAGCATTTCTCCATTCTTCAGTCCTGTTTTTACTGATCTGCCTCAGTTTCCCCTCTAGCCTTCTAGGTCCCTGATGCCCCACATTCCCCACATTTGACTGGGACTCTGCCTCCTTGTCATCCTGTCCAGCTGTTGCCAATCTTGTCCCCACAGAAGAGCTGGAGGCGGCTTCTGAGGCTGCCAGCCATGCTGGGGTGACTCACTGGGGACCAAGATCCTGCTGCTTGTGGCTGAACTTCCCACCGTCTCGTTCTGCTACTTGCCAAGGAGCAAGCCATCTCTCTGATGCCCTTTGGCCAACACACAGGGTTATCCTCTGCAGATGGGTCTCTGCCAGTACCTATTCTGCATTGTCCAGGCCTCTTCCTTCACCCCATGACCAAGAGTGCTGGTTGGTGGGTGAGCAGGGACCAGCCTGGTCCAGACAAAGACACTCGACTCCCACTGTTGCCTGGCTATACCTTCACCCCTCGTCTTCCTCCAAAAAAGCACATTTGAACACCAGAGACAGAGAGAGAGAACGAGAGAAACATTTTTTATAGGTGTAACCATGAATCTGCTCTAATTTTAAAAAGTAAATCATTAGCAAACATCAATCAGATGGTGTTATGAGCTATTATTAGTAAAAATTACTTACACTTCACTACAGATCATGACATACTGCTATAAAGAGTGGACAATCACTGGCTTATTGGAAGGAGGTCAAACATCCTTCTCTATTCCTCTCTTCCACAATGTTCCCAGAAAGACACCTATCACTTGGAGAGAGGATTGGGGTTGTAGAGCGATATTCAAAACTGCTAGTGGAAATCAGTTTCAAGGAATATTCATTGCACACCTGTCATGCACCAGGCTTTGAGCTGCAGGCTTTAAAATACTACATCTGATTAAATCAGGGAGATGGTAACAAGCAGAATTATTATGAATTATAACCCATAAACTGTGCATCATGGGCAAGTCCCTCGGTCACCCTGCCTTTTTTGTACCTGAAAAATGGGAGAGACGTTTTTCAGCCCAGCCTACTGTATGTGGTAAAGGAACTTACAACGCTGCACGAGCTCTAGAGTCCCTCACAAGAATTGCTGTTGAGATTGTTCTTCCTTATGGAACAGCACGTTATAGGTTTTAAAGCATTTCACATCCTTTATGTATTGCATCCTTTCCGCATTCCAGGGAGGTAGTCCGGGATTACAACTTTTCTGTATTTTTGGCAATGCCATCAAAAAGGGGAAAGTATGACGTGGACTGAATGTCATCGGCATTGGCATTTTGAATCTACCAGGCATGACGTGATTATTTTCACTGTAATTTTTCCCATTTAGAAAGTGTTCTAAATAATGACAGAACATGAGTCCAGTTGGTCTGTTCTCTCTGGCAGACTATGGACTCTCTACCAAGGACGGTGTCTTTTTTTTTTTTTTTTAAGATTTTATTTATTTATTTGACAGAGAGAGACACAGCAAGAGAGGGAACATAAGCAGGGGGAGTGGGAGAGGGAGAAGCAGGCTTCCCACCGAGCAGGGAGCCCGATGCGGGGCTTGATCCCAGGACCCTGGGATCATGACCTGAGCCGAAGGCAGACGCTTAACGACTGAGCCACCCAGGCGCCCCATGAGCCACCCAGGCCCCCCCTCCAAGGACTGTGTCTTACTCAGCTCTGTGTCCCCAGATGCTAAGCTAGCACCTGGGAAAGAGGTGTGCTCCTGAATGAATGTATGAATGAATGAACGAATAAATGAATAAATGAAGGAACATATTCCCATTCATTCCCATAGAGGAGATGGCCCTGGTGTCCAGGCAATTGCTAAGATCTGAGACTGGACTACCTCCCAAAGTAATGGATACAAGATAAGAAGTTCCCAGAATAAAAACTGGAATTGTAAACTGGGAAGGGAATAGATTAAAATACATATGTAATTTAAAAATATGAACATATGTAGTATTTAATTAAGATCAACAATAAGCAAATGAGAAGCTGTGTCTATGCTGACATTTTGGTTCTTACCGTAATTTTTGATTAACTTAAATTTCCTCCTTAGCCTCTTGACATATTAAAGGGGTTTTTTAAAAGGAAAGAAATTCTGAGAATTGGCTTTGCAAGTGAAACAATAAACACACACAGTTTTCCACTTTATTATATTTAAATGGTATCATTTTTACTCTACTTCAAAGAGCAATCAGCTGCCATTAATTAAGTACTTCAGCATGGAATTAATGACCAATAGTAGGATCAACACAGACTCATCCCCTACACTGCCAGTCTCCAATGGACCTTTCCATCTGATTGACATTAGTGACCATATAGCAAACAATAGCAATATTTCACTAAGGCCTGGAGGCTAAAAGTGTGCTCTGGACTGTTGGTTAGAGGATGTGCATAAAGAATCATTTTCTCCCACCATTTAAAGCCTTTTCTGGACTAGATTTTTTTTTCATCTATTAAATAGCAATGAATGTAATTCAGCATCACGGGAATGAGCCATTGCTCATTTAACAAAAGTTCTTGTGGAACCAATCACGTGCCAGGCAATCTGCTTGCTGCTGGGGAAACAAAATTGGACAAACTCTGACCTCAAGGTTCTTACAGTGTAATCGTGACAACAGGCCCATAAACCAGAGGAAAACAACTTTGTTTGACATTTGAAAAGGGAAAAACAAAATGCTAAGAGGGGTAGAGGAGGGAGGGGTTGCCCTCATTCATACAAGTTGCGGTTTTGTTGTTTTTCTCATTTGAACCTGGTGTTGAGGGAGTCATATCTAATTCCCTGTAGCCAGAGCGATCTTTCCTAAGTGAAAATCGAGGATCGTGTTGCTGTTCTTTTAAAATGCTTCCATGTGTCATGTCCATAGCCCTCTCTGGACTCTCAGCCCAAGAGGCCATGGGGAGACTGGGTTTGCCTGGCTCACCTCTCAAGACTTCATGCTAATCACCTGGTTTCAAGCCAAGTAGGGACTCAGGTTTATTTGTTGAATACATGAATGCAGCAGACAACTAGAGACATCAAGACATGTCCATAAAGTTTTAAGATGTTCTCTTCCTTCTCTTCTTCAGTCCATGTCCCCCCCTGGGTGTGGTTTGTAGAAGCTCTACATGCAGAGCTGTGTAGAGATTGAGAGCATGAGCTTTGGACCCCATGAGATCTGGGTTCAAGTCCTGCTTCCCCTTTTCCTAACTATATGACTTTGAGTGAGTTATTTAACCTCTCTCAGCTTCAGGTTCCTCGTCTATAAAACAATAGTGATAATAATTAATAATATCTGCTTAAAAGGGTAGCTAGGAGGATTACACATTTATGTATATTATACATGTATGTATAAGTCATGTATTAAGCGTTCAGCAAATGTCGGTATTATTTTTTAAATTCTTCTCCAAGTTAAAAACAAATTCCAAAGTTTTTAACATTGTTCAAAACTGTGGGGTTTCTTCCCTCTTGGGGACCAGCTTCTCCCAGGCGGGGACTCATTTCTAAGCCTCTCACAGAAATCTTCAGGCCCAGCCCTCTTCTTCCATTACAGTCCAAGGGGTATTCACTCTCTCCCACTTGGCCATTCAGCACATTCACCAAATTTGGCCCAAAATGACTCAGGATTATTCCCAAATTTCAGCAGGAAAGGCCAAAGACTCGCCCTCCCTGAGAACCAATGCTGTGTCA